TCTGGTCCCTGGGTGTCACCTCGCTGCTGGTGTGGGGTTGGGGACAAGGACAGTGCCCCAGGACTGTGTCACCTCCCTGCTGGTGTGGGGTTGGGGACAAGGACAGTGCCCCAGGACTGTGTCACCTCCCTGCTGGTGTGGGGTCAAGGATGGACTTCAGTCCCCAAGTGTCACCTCGCTGCTGGTGTGGGGCTGAGGACAAGGACAGTGCCCCAGGACTGGCTGCGGTCCCCAGGTGTCACCTCCCTGCTGGTGTGGGGTCAAGATGGATTCTGGTCCCCTGGTGTCACCTCCCTGCTGGCACATGGAGTTGGGGACGCCACCAAGCCCCAGGACATTCTTCGGTCCCCGAGTGTCACCTCGCTGCTGGCACAGGCTTGGGGACACCACTGAGCTCCAGGACATTCTCCTGTCCCCAAGTGCCACCTCCCTGCTGGTGTGGGGTCAGGGAGGGACTTTGGTCCCCAAGTGCCACCTCCCTGCCGTCACAGGCTTGGGGACAAGCCCCAGGACAAGCTCCTGTCCCCAGATGCCACTTCCCTGCTGTCACTGGCTTGGGGACACCACCAAGCCCCAGGACAAGCTCCAGTCCCCAAGTGTCCCCTCCCTGCTGGTTTGGGGTCAGGGATGGACTCTGGTCCCCAAGTGCCACCTCCCTGCCATCACAGGCTTGGGGACAACCTCCTGTCCCCAGGTGCCACCCTACCCCAGGCTGGTGACACTCGTGGTGACACCGGGGACCCCCCAGGACTCCCCAAACTCCCCAGGACTGAGCGGGGCAGGAGCCCCCGTGTGTCCCCATGTCCCAGGGGCTGTGGTGGCACTGGGGACAGCCGTGTCCCCTCCCCCCCGGGCTGGGGGAGGGGCTGTACAGCCGTGTATAGACCCTGTAAATAAACGACCCGCGGGGCTGGGCCCGAGTGTGACAGCCTGGGGACACCGGGGGGCGCGGGGGGGACATGCGGGTGACATGGGTGACAGAGGTGACGTGGGGGTGACACTGAGACACGAGGGTGACGTGGGTGACACGGGGAGTGGCACTGAGACACGAGGGTGACATGGGGTGACGCAGGGATGACACGGAGGTGGCACAGGGGTGGCACAGGGGTGCAAGGCTGGGGTGGGGCTGGGGGTGCAGGTGAGCTGGTGATGGTGAGCTGTGACACACTCAGGTGTGCACGGACAGGTGAGCTGTGACACACTCGGGTGTGCAAGGACAGGTGAGCTGTGACACACTCAGGTGAGCACAGACAGGTGAGCTGTGACACACTCAGGTGTGCACAGGTGCGTGCAATGCGAGCCTCAAGCGCTGTGTGAGCGTGCACGAGGGCGTGTCAGCCTCGCACACAGGTGTGTCCCCAGCCCCGCCTCCCATGGGTGTGTCCCTGTCACACTCA